TTTAATAAACCCAAAGTGCGTGAAAATTTCATAACAGAACACAAAAAACAATAGCCATTTTAAAAGGCAAAAATTGATCACTAGACTTGCACGTTATCACAAGATTCCATGAAGACTGTGAAAAGGCAAACCAGACTGGGAGAAAATATTTGTAACATATATATTTGACAAATGACTCATAGGCAGGATATAAAAGAACTTTTACAAGAAAACACAACCAATCAAAAAAAAAAACCCAACTCAAAAATGGGTAAAAGATTTGAAAAGTCACTTCACAAAAAGGATATATCCCAATACCCATAAGTATATGAAATAGTATTCAACATCATTACTTACCAGGAAATATAAATTAAAAGCACAAGGACCACCTCACATCCATCAGGATGGCTACTATCAAAAAACAGAAAATAAAGTGTTGGCGAGGATGTGGAGAAACTGAAACCCTTGTACACTGCCGGTAGGAATGTAAAATGGCTTGTGCCTTTATTCCCAGATACTCAGAAGGCTGAAGCAGGAGGATTGCTCAAGGCTAGGCATTTGAGATCAGCCTGGGCAATACAGCAAAAAAAAAAAAATTATTTGGCTAGGCATAGTGTCACATGCCTATAGCCCCAGCTACTTGGGAGGCTAAGGAAGGAGCATCACTTGAGGCCAGGAGTTTGAGGCTACAGTGAGCTATGATAACACCACTATACTCCAGCCTGGGCAACAGAGTGAAATCCTATCTTTATTTTTTTTATTTATTATTATTTTTTTGAGACCGAGTCTCACTCTGTCACCCAGGCTGGAGTGCAGCCTCCGCCTCCCACGTTCAAGTGATTCTCCTGCCTCAGCCTCCCCAGAAGCTGGGATTACAGGCACCCACCACGACGCCGGGCTAATTTTTGTTATCTTTAGTAGAGACGGGGTTTCACCACGTTGGCCAGGCTGGTCTCTAACTCCTGACCTCAAATGATGTGCCTGCCTCAGCCTCCCAATGTGCTGGGATTACAAGCGTGAGCCGCGTGCCTGGCCAACCCTGTCTTTAAAAACGTTTTAAATAAGGCCAGGCTCATTGACTCACGCCTGTAATCCCAGCACTTTGGGAGGCAGAGACGGGTGGATTACCTGAGGTCCGGAGTACCAGACCAGCCTGGCCAATATGGTGAAACCCCTTCTCTACTAAAAATACAAAAATTAGGCCGGGCACGGACCCAGCACTTTGGGAGGCCAAGGTGGGCGGATCACCTGAGGTCAGGAGTTCAAGACCAGCCTGATCAACACGGAGAAACCCCATCTCTTCTAGAAGTACAAAAATTAGCTGGGCATGGTGGCACACACCTGTAATCCCAGCTACTCGGGAGGCTGAGGCAGGAGAATCACTTGAACCCAGCAGGCGGAGGTTGTGGTGAGCCAAGATCGCGCCGTTGCACTCCAGCCTAGGCAACAAGAGCGAAACTCTTTCTCAAAAAAAATGAAAAAAATAAATTAAAAAAATTGAGATTCCTCCCTTGGATCCCCTCCCACGGCAGTGTGGGAGCTCAAAAAATAACAAATAAAATAAAAAATAATAAAATAATTTATAACATAATAAAATAAAAAATAAAATTAGCCAGGCATGGTGGTGGGCGCCTATAATCCCAGCTACTGGGGAGGCTGAGGCAGGAGGATCACTTGAACCCAGGAGGTGGAGGTTGCAGTGAGCAGAGATTGTGCCATTGTACTCCAGCC